AAGTCTTTTCTGAGCAATTAGCAGTTTTGCAATTATATTATCTAGAGACACAAGCATCTGCTTTTTTTTCTGAAACTTGTAGGATATGATTAAGGACTATGAGATCTATTTCTGAGTAAAATTTCTTTTTTTAAGTTTCCCTTACTTATTCTTTTGCAATAGACTGAAAATTTAGTAAAATGATCATAATTCACGAAGAAAAAAGTACTAATGGCACCTATGCTTTTATCTAGACAATAGACTCTAACAGTCAAATAAATATAACCTTGAATTGTAATTATCGACTGAAAGGATTCCCTTAAGACAATAACGAAGCAATATTGTGATTTTCAATGTTGAAAGTAGACATGTGCAGGGCTACCTGATCCTTCAGGGTAGAGTACAGAGTGTGAAAAGAAGGCTTATCTTGCACACTTCTCAAGTGACACTATTTTTTGCTACTTATTGCTTTTCGAGTCTATCAACTAGGATAGAATTAAGGAAGAGTGTGATAAAAACTGCGTAGGGCAAAGTACGGATTAGAAGAATTTCCTCACTCAGGATACAGGATAGGAAAAAAACTTATCCTGCACATCTCGAGATAAAAACTCAAGTGTTATTATCTTTATTGTAAGAGTTTTGAAAACTATTACGCAAAAAAAAACAGACGTTTATAGCTGTGTTTTGTAATTTCTTTGTTAAACATCTCAGTACATAGACTTCAAAGTTTATTTTTGATTTTTTTGTTAGTCTTTACGAAAATATGAAGAATGTCATGACTCAGCACGTCGAGCTAAAGAAAGTTATGAAAAAGCTCATGAAGATCTGGATTTATCTCGTGCACAATTAGAAAAAGCTCGTGATACAATGACATCAAAATCAAAAATATGTGATGATGCACATACAAATTATTCTTCTCAAGTATCATTATTTAATGATACACAACGTTTATTTTATGAAAGACAATTACCAAGTATTTTAACAGATTTACAACAATTAGATGGAAAACGTTCAGATGAACTTAAAGATGTTTATATTAAATTTATTCAATCACATGCTGAAGTTATACCACGTATACAACGATGTTTAGATGAAATGACTAAACAAACCGAACAATTAAATGCTAATACAGATGCACAAGTTGTTATTGAAGAATATAAATCTGGTTATGCAATACCAGATGATGAAAAAGAAGTAAATCATTTAATATTATATTATTATTTATTTATTTCGATTCTTATCTAGATTGATTTAAATGCTGGTGATCTTCCATCAATGTTATTAAATGGAAGTAATAATGGACAAGATCAACAAATATATAATATAACATTACTTAATCACCATCATACACCAGGAGAATTAGCACGATCAAATACATTAAGAAGTTCGGGTAGTGATCATAGTAGTCAAAATGGTGTAGCAACAATATATGCAGTAGGTAATGCTAGTGGTCATGTTAATGGTACACAAACATTAATGACAACACCAGCTATGGGTTCAAGAAAAACTGGAGGAAATAAAAGTGGTGGAACAGCAAGTACAATTAGAAAAATATTTGGTAGTTCATCGCATAGAAAAGTAAGTAAAGAAAAATCATTAATAGAAATAAACAAAAAAAAAAAAACAAGAATCGATTGTTGTATTGACTTATAATATACAAATAATTATATTATCTGTTTTTTTATTTTTATTATAGACAATATTGGTAAGTAGGAAAAAAAATGATTTAAATGTAGTTAAATATTCCTGTTTGTAGAATCGAAAGAGAAAAGAAATAGACTTAAATGTATATTGTAGTAAAATGTGCTTTATTTGACTGAAAGATTGCTTAAATTTACAAGGATTACGTTTTTAATTAATTCATATAAAAAGAAATTGTTTTTAATTTTTGGTATTGATTAATCTTTTCTAGCCTTCAAATAATGGTAATTTAAATGTAACAAGCACTAATACACCATATAGCACATTACCACCAGCACAACGTGTAAAAAAATTTCAAGAACAAATTATGAATTGTAAAAGTGAATTAGAAAAAAACCAAAAAGCCAAGTAAATATATAAATAAATAAAAACATAAAATAAAAATTTTATTTTATTTTATATTTTACTTATTTCAAAATTTATTGTTTTGTTGTAGAGAAGGTTTAACAAAAATGAAACAAGTTTTTCAAGAAAATCCAAAATTTGGTGCTGAACAAGATGTTACACAACAAATTATTTCAATTGATGAACATATTGAAAAATTACAAGCAGAAATAAAACGATTTGAAGTAATAAAAAAAAGGACTTTGTCATGAACTAAACAAAAATTTCTTCTTTTGCATTTTAGTCTTATATAGCTGAAATCGAACGAACACGAGCTCCAACATTATCTGAATATGATTCAACATCTCATTTACGAACAAATTATGGTTCTGATCAATCAATAAGTAATAATAATAATAATAATAATTCACAACCTGGTACACCATCACAAAATCGAAGGTAATAAAAATAGAAATAAAAAGAAAAAAAACATTTTCATTAGGCATTTTTTCACTTTGTGATGTTGCTTTTATCTCATAAATAAACCTTATTAGTTTCCTCTATTTTCGTCATCATTATTCACCACAATATAATAATAAATTGATGAATATCAATCGACGTTGGTCGACAACGGTTTGGTTAGCGAATAAATATTTTATGTAGAAAAGACTCTTTCTTGAACACAAAATTCTAAGGAAAAAAAAAAAGATTGAAAAGCATGAAGATTCACAAAATAAAAATCCTATTCTTTTTCTTCTTCTTCTTCTTCTTCTTCTTATAGTAATTCTGAATACAATGTACATTATGCTGTGGAACCCGTATATCATACTTATCAACCTTTGAGGTTGGTTATATTAATCGTATCCTAGCATGTAAACTTCTTTTTATTTAGTTATCTAGAAAAATCTATATATTTTGATATTTGCTATTATAATGCAATAATTTATTTGTTGTTATAGTCCACCAGATATCCCTGAACATGTAACATCTTCAAATGATTATCATCGATTACCATCAATAACATCAATATCATTGCATCAAAATGATGCAACAAATATATCAACACATACTTTAAATAATGATGAACATAATGGATCATTTGAAGATGAAGATATTGATGATGAACAATTACATTCTGCTGATCATCCCGATAGTCAATATCAACAAAAACTCAATGGTGGTACAACAATTATTAAAGCTTATGCACTCTATGATTTTAATGGTAAGAAAATGTTTATCGATACAGTCTCTGTACGGCTAAAATATGAAATTCATACGTGTTCGATAGTCTTATCATAATATTAGGAAATACTTTAAGTGAAAAATCTCTATCAGACTAATTATTTTTCAAGGATAAATTTCAACACACTATTATATCTGTTGATAAGTTCAAAAACACTAATATTAATTATAGCCTAAAGCTATAACTTGAGCAGTTCATGCTTTTTATGTTGATCATATGATGATTGTGGCAAATCAATGCATCAATACTCATTATCCTTTCTGGAACTATCTCAGTCTAATGCCGTTCGGCACTTTTTCCGTTATTAAGAAACTTGTTGTCTTCGATTGCTATAGAAACGTACTCAATGAGCATTGGCATTCCTCCCCTACCTGTTACTACGGAAAACATACTTATTGGTCTCTGATACCTGTTATTATAAGGGGACGAAGGCTCGCAAAACCTCGACTTAAAACTTACACTCGCTATATTTTTCTTCGAAAAGAATAATGTGAGTTTTTGACGATATCTGAAAATCATAGAACTAAGGCTTTTAAAGTAAATAATAGGAGAAAAAATTCATTCTACTCAATAAGTGCTCTTCATTCTATGTAGACTGTAGTTTATTTACTTTCATGGACAAGTACGAAAATAAATCGTTGGAATCATTTTTTTAGTAAAGTCTTTCTTCAATAATTCAATACGTAAAATGATCTTGTTTCTTTTCTGGAAAATTATATCCATAATAGAAATCTTTTTTTTTCGATCTTTTTAGGTCATGGCATCAACGGTTCTCAATATGTAAATGCAGCGTCAATATTTGTTGGCGAATATATTGATATATTAGAAGATGATCAAGGCGATGGGTGGACGCGTATACAAAAACAAGACGGCTCAACTGGTTTTGTTCCATCATCATATCTTCGTATTGATTCTCAACAACATACCACATCATCACATCAGATTGATTCCGGCCGTTTTTGAAAAAATATCTTTCCTTTTTTTCGTATCTTTCGTTCTTTTTTTTTTTTACATATATATATACACACATACTGCTCACTTATGAATCCCAGTTGACTGAAAGCAAGGAAAAAAACCTCAATACATATTATTGTATGTGTGCTCAATTTTTGTTTGTTTGTTTTGTTTATTTTACTGTTCTATTTGATCAAATAGCCCGTTCCGCTAGTCAAATACTGTTCAAAAATATTGAAAGATAAATTTAAAACAAATGAATGTTTTCTTTAAGGGCTGTCAGATACCGCGACATAATACGTACAGAATGAGCGAATGCATTTTTTCTTCTTGTACATGTTTATTGCTATTTATATATATATATATATACATAATATATATGTTTTGTTTTTTTTGTCATCTTAAAATGAACAGTAAAAGAATAAGACAAGCATAAAATCGAATCAAAAAAAGCTTTATGTTCACTTCTTTTTTTTTTCGTTTTGTTTTTCCTATGTAACATCAGATTGAGTATTAGAATTAGATATATATATATATATAGATATTGATTATAAATCACAATAGTTTTGTCTATGTGCGTGTATATCTATTGTATCTTCTTTATTCATTTATTACCTATTTCTTTTCTGTATACACATTTATATAATCTCTTGTTCATTCTTCTTTTATCCTGAATCAAAAGAAAAACAAAAAACTCAACTAACAAATGATAAAATGATTTAAATTCAAACATTCTTTTTTTTTGTCTTCTGGTTTATAGATTTTTTTTTTGTCAAAGAGAGTTAAACACAAAATCATCATGTTTAATTTTGGTTCAACATCAACAACACCGAGTAATACAAGTCTTTTTGGAACATCAACACCTGTTAATCAAAATCGAACAGGAAGTGGTTCATTATTTGGTAATACAACCATGCCACAACCTAATACACTTACATCAACACCATTTGGATCAACAAGTTTATTTGGTAATAAGATTAAGAATGTGTTAATATTTAATTTCGAATTGAATACAATTGTAATGTTATTTGACAAATGAAGCAAAATTTGTCACTTTGAATACTGTCTTCTATGGGAGACCGAGATTACAATAGCAAAAAATGGCCCCTCTGTTTTTCCACGATGTTCTGCTCGATCGAGCTGAAATTTTTTTTTCAGGCAGTAGACGTGGTTTGGAGTGATTTTTGTCCTTTGAATAGAGAGCTCAAAATATCTCAGACACCCTAAAAAATGTATATTTCTCGATCCGATATACTAAACTGGAGAAACGGAGGTGTTTTTACGCTTGAGTTCTTGCTCAAGCGCATGTAAATGTAATAAAAAATGAAATACTTTATAGAAAAAAGTATGAGCTGTATAGATTAACAACAAAAGTTTCTCAGCCGCCCCCCCCCCCCCGTCCGTTCTCCTTTGCCAGCTAGCGATAGTAATACTCCAATGATTTCGGTTATTCGTCGCAGCTATGAATGAAAGCAATATCTTTAATGAGTAAAACTAATTTTAATTACATATTATGCGTGGCCTTTGTTTATTTCTCTGCAGTTTTACATATAAAATGATTCAACTGATAATAACTTAAAAAACAAAGTCTGTAGCAGGTGGACCAAAAAGGGAATCTAGATGAGTAAATAGATTCAGACATCTTCAATGGCAAAGAATATTCTTTCATCTTGAGCAGCAAAAGATTTTATATTATTTTATTCCACTTGATTGTTTCAAATGTACTCATTCGTACGATTTCTATGTGTTCAGCGTATGTGAGTTCCTTTAAATATACACATAACTCATGTAAACATTCAAATGTTTGTCTATGCAAAAGAAAATCATTTGATATAGGCAATTCTTGAGGTTTATGCATCTTAAACACAAGAAAAAAACAGGTTCGACTAGAGAAGTAAAACCTTCATGGAAAGTGATTCATTAATCAACTACATATTATAATTGGAAATAAATTGCATATTTTCATGTGTTTTTCTTTCAGGAGGAACAAGTCCTTCTACAATGACTCTTCAAGTTTCATCATCTGGGACAGGTACAATACACAAATTTGATGCTCTTGTTGGTACAGACAAAATTAACAAAAATGGTATTCAAACACAAATTCGTACAAAAATTTTCAATCTATGTGCTATGACAGTCTATGAAAGGAAGTCCATGGAGGTTAATTAAATAATATACATGTAGATATAGATATAAATATTTTGTATTTTTTTTTTATTCAGGAACTTCGATTAGAAGACTATATAGATAATCGAAAATTTTCATCTACAACATCTTTATTTGGTGGATCAACAACAGCAACAAATCGTAAATTTGAAAAAATAGAAAATTTTATATAAATAATTATATTTCTAATAATAATAAATAGCTACAACAACTACAACAAATATGTTTGGTGCAAATACAACACCAACATCATCAGCATTAAATTCAACTTTATTTGGAAATAAGCCAGCCGTATCAACAGCATCAACATTAGTATGCCGAAAAATAAAAGAAAAAAATTCTAAAATATCATTCTTTTATCAAATTTAGCCATTTTCATTTGGCTCTTCAGGAACCACAACAACAACAACGCCAGTACCATTTTCATTTGGTCCATCAACAACAACCACAGCAAATCCTGTAAATTTTTATAAATCTTATGAACAAAAAGATAAACTAATATCAAAATTTTATTTTCAGACTGCTCCATTTGGTAGTACAGTAGCGGCTACTGGAACTACTACATCAGCATCACCATTTACATTCGGAGGTAGTCAAGCTCCACCAACAACAAATGCACCAGCTTTTAGTTTCGGTATTATTTTAATTTGAACAAAGAAACAAAAAACAAAACAATTCTATTATTTTTCAATTGATTTCTATTTCTTAGGTGGTTCTACTTCATTATTTCCAGCAGCTAATACAGGTTTTTCAGTAACAAAACCAACAATGACAAGTACATTTCCATTTACTTCAACAACAGCAACATCGGCAGCACCATCATTTAGTCTTTTTCCAACAACAACAACAACTAGTGCTCGTAAGATTATTTGATATAATGAAAAAAAAATTCATAGTAAAATTTTATTTCTTATAGCTACATTATTTGCAGCATCAAATCAACCAGTAACCACATCAAATGTACTAACTACACAATCATCTGTTGATACACGAACTCATTTACAATTATTTCAAACAATGCTTAATATACAACCATTTAATAGTGAACTTGGCTTTCTTGCACGAAATATAAAAGTAACAATAATATTTTATTATGATACTATTCAATATAGAATAAAGATAATTTTTAAATCGATTAAAAATAAAATCATTATTTTCATGACGATATTATTTTATTTTACAAATATTTCTTAAAATATGACTTTTTAATTGACTGATAACAATATACGAAACTTAGTTTGTTCGATTTGAAATTTACGAAAAGAATAATCTTTATTGCTGGGATATAGTTAACGTTATAAGAACCAAAACGTTTTTGTTTTTTTACAAATTATCATTCTTGTATTATCATTTAAAGATCGACATGGTATTATTAAATTCGTATCTCTCATTTATATCAAAAAAAAAATTGAACTTCTCTTTTACCGATTTTATTCAATACAGATAGTATGCAAATGAATATTTAGAGACTTGTATTTCGGGAAATTTTCAATGGTGTCTAAACTTCTTTCTCTTTCGACTTGTTCCTGTGCAATGAAGAAAAATTGGTTTGATCTGTTGAAGGTGTGACGATTTTTTGTCACTTCTACACGATTTAATTAGGATCAAAATGTTCTATTTTCTTCATGTTTGATTAAACTGGCATATCATATCGTATTTTTGATAGATAAAAGAATTTGTAAAAAATTTCATCATTCAGTCTAGTTAATGATTTAAAAGTTTAATAGTTCAAGAACTTTGATGGAATGATTTATTTAACATATTTTTAGTTCCTAGTTATTAGGATAATACATTTAAATGATAAGTTTGTAAAAAAGAATATATTGCTTTTGCTATAACGTTAATTAGATCTCGACAACGAAGAGTTAATACTTTTAGGGTTTTTTTTCAGTATCATTGAGACCTATCAATAATTAAAAGATGAAGCGATAGTTCAGACTTATATGGATTACTACCTTCATTAGTAAATTCTCTTATATTGAACATGATTTCAATCTGATAAATGAACACTAGAATTAATGTTGAAATTGGAAATCTTATTTAATGAATATCTTCAGAAGATAACTTATAAATACATAATGATCATTCCTCAATGGATTAGTCTTAAAAAACAACAATAGCGGAAATGTTCAGTACTAAGCTCTTGTGATCCAACACGATGAGAATTGTTTTAAATTTTTCGTACTCGCTTCTATTGAACATTAGAATCTAACGAAGAAATACCTCTAACTGTCGGACATCGATCGAACTCTTCATTCGCCCATATTTAGAAGTCAATGGAATTTGTGAAAGTCTAAAATGATTCATATTCATGCCTTGGATTTCGGAAACATGGTCCTTTTATTGAGTTTGTGACCTTGGGCAAGCTATTTGGCCAAAGATCAAATAACATAGATTTGAAGTTTAATTTTGCCCATAAACGAGTCTCACCGTTATTGAACTATTTTAAAAAGTTCACTTAAAAAATACGATTTCTTTTCAAAATATTCAAGTATAGAAAAAGTTGGTGTTTTGACCTTTGCCGATAAGATCAACAATAAGGACGAGATTTACTCATTGACAAAATTTAAAATAAAATTTGTGTCATTCGAACTTTGATAAGGTATCTTGTTCAGGGCCGAAAATTACAATACATAAGCACAAATCATTTTGACCTTTCACTTGTCTTGCCTAATTCTACATATGAACAAACTATAATCATAAGGCAACATGAATCATAAAATCTCTTCAAATCTTAGAATCAACTATGTCCTTTTCTATTAATGATTGTATATAATTTCCAATAACTAAGATTCTTCTATTCATTTAGCCAAACATTGGTCTTGATCGAGCTCGATTACGTACTGTGCCTGATTCTAGCACTAGTCATCCATTAAACAATGTATTTACTTCTCTTCTTCCAAAATCATCTGTTCTTGCATCAAGTACATCAACACCGCCATCAACATTAGCTAATCCATTACCAACTCATTCGCATACATTGCCATCTGTTTTATTACCATCATCAACAACAAATTCATCTATTACTTTATTTGGTAAGCGTAAATTAGCTGATTCATTTCTTGACGACGATGATGATAATTCATTAATGATGGATGATGGACCATCATTATCAATAAATAAAATATCTAAAACAAATGTTCTTAAACGACCACGTATACTTGATATGAATAAAATTCGTTCAGTTGTACTTGGAGGTGGTAGTGTAGGAGGAGGAGGAACTAATGAAATTATAACAAAAGAAGAAAATTTTTCTGATACATTTGTTGTTAAATCAACATCAGATAATTTATCGGGATGGAAAAAATTTGCTACTTATGATGCATATAAAGCATCAAAAAAACAACAAATTGAAAGTATTAAAATATGTGGTGATGATGATGATGATGATGATAATAATAATAATAATAATAAACAAATAAATCTTAATGAAAATAAATTTGAACAAGAACGTGCTTTTCGTTTACCAAAATTAACACATGATGATTATTATACAAAACCAACAATTGATGAATTACGTCATTATTTTAATGAAAAAGGACAATGTTTTGTTCAAGAATTTACTGTTGGACGAGAACATTATGGTTCTGTGACATTTCAAGGTTCGAAAATAAATTTAGCTGGTCTTGATCTAAATCAATTAAGTAAATGAATTAGAAATTAAAACAAAATTTTTTGTATTATGTTTTTTTTTGCTTTTGTTACAGTTGAAATTGGTCGTAGACAAATAACTGTTTATCCTGATGATAATAATAAACCAGCTGAAGGTGAAGAATTAAATTGTCAAGCAATAATATCTTTAATAGGTGTTTATCCAAGTGCTCGTTCAATATCAAATAGTGGTGAAGAAGTAACTGATCCTGATAGATTAATTGAAATGAAGTATGAAAATTATTTACGTGGCATAACTCAAAAATTTCATGGACAATTCCTTGATTATGATGTTTATACAGGAACGTGGACATTCAAAGTAAAAATTAAAAAAAAATAATAAATTTTTAATTAAATATATTTATTATTTTAGGTTGAACATTTCTAATTGTTTCGTTTGTTTCTTTTCTTTATTTTTTCTTGGCCTATGGTCAAGATTTGTTTATTGACGAAAATACAAAAACATGTGTGATCATATCTTCTTCTATTCCGATACAATAACTCTTTTTTTTCTTCTACACAGTGTTTGTCTATCTGTTGATATATATTATTGCGTAAACTTGTATTACATGTGAAATGAAGATAAATAACTGAGAAAAAAAAATTTTTTTTTTCTTCTTCTTCTTCTGTTCAGATATTTTTTTCTTTCATTTTTTTTCTCTTGGTTCTCTTTGATTAAATAAAAATAAACAGGAATTTCTAATGAGTAAAAAATTGAATTACAATTTTAAATACATATATTGAAATAAATCAACGACATCTGGAATATATTTTTATATTGGATGATTTGTTGACAACTAAAGAAATATTATTTTTTTTTTATATTCTATTTGAATCCATATGCTTTATCTTTGTAATAAATTGAATAAATATAAAGATAGATTTTTGTATTTTGAATTTTATTTTAGAGACATCAATGTAATAAGATGTCGTTAAATTTACCAGAAAATGATCCATTTCTTAAAAAGCAAACTATTCGAGCACGACGAAAAAGATTACAAGAATCATCACGTCTTGGATATAAAAATCTACATCAAGAACTTGAACCTTTACCATCATTGAAAGGTATTTTCTTGGTTTTGCTACCAATTTGATTGCTTTATATAGATTCTGATTGATTCAAGTAGATTTGATATTCAATTAAAAATTCGATTGAACGTAGTCTCTGGTTCAAAATAAATATAACATCATGTTTGTATCATTTTTCGCACTATATATTGATGATTTGATCTTTTATACTAAATATCAATACTCAAGTAAATCGTAGAGCATTAATCTGTAACTTAAAAGAAACTTATTTATCTGATATCAATGAAGCGAAAATTGTTTATTTTTCATTGTTTATTCCATTCGAGCATTTTTGAATGTTTAAAAAAATTCGGATAAAAAATAAATAATATGATTAAATCTCTTTATTGTTTCAAGACAAACAACACATTCCTTGTTAAAATAGTACTAATAATAAATGTGACCTATATATTATTGATTTAATTGTTCGATGAAAGAAAAAATAATTCTCATGAATTTTATTGATAAATATAGTTTGATTAGAATTTTAGAAATTCCTAAAATTGATAAATTGACTTTTATTTTGTATCATTATGACATTAGTTTGACTTCTATAATAGAATTTAGCATATTATTTATTTTAAAAATTTTGATTAATTATAAAATATTAATAATTTATTATTATTATTATTATTACTCTCTAGAAACTCCAATTGGTCAACAAGAAAAATTATTTATTGAAAAATTACGACAATGTTGTGTTCTATTTGATTTTTCGGATTGTGTAAGCGATCTTAAAAGTAAAGAAATAAAACGAGCTTGTCTAAATGAAATTGTCGATTATATAACAGTAACAAAAAGTTGTTTAACAGAAAATGTTTATCCAGAATTGGTTACAATGGTTTGTTATTCCTATTCTATAATAGAAAAATTAATTTTTCTTAATTATTTTTTTCTAGATATCGATAAATCTTTTTCGTATATTACCACCAATAGGTCCAGATAGTTTATCTGATGAAATAGGCGTTGAAGATGAAGAACCAACATTAGAAGCAACATGGCCACATACGCAAATAGTTTATGAATTTTTTTTACGCTGTTTGGAATCACATGATTTTCAACCAAATATAGCAAAAAAATTTATTGATCAAAAATTTGTTTTACAAGTAAAAACAAAAAATGAAAAGATGAATAGAGAAAATTTGATTTGAATTTACTTTCTTTTTCTTTTCTTTTGGTGTTGTTTTTAGTTATTGGATTTATTTGATAGTGAAGATCCACGTGAAAGAGATTTTTTAAAAACAATTCTTCATCGAATTTATGGCAAATTTCTTGGTTTAAGAGCATTCATTCGGAAACAATTTAATAATATATTTTTACGGTTTGTATCTTTATTAATCAAATGATCTAAATTGAAATATAAATAATTCCTATTAGTCAAAATTGATGATTTGTATTTGTCTTATTTATATTCAATAGAATATCGAAAAAAAAATCATATAACTGAAAGTAAAAATTTGATCTTGTCGAAAATGAATTTGTTTCGTTAGAGACTTCTGTAAAGAAAAGAAGCATTTGATTATAGTTCAACTTAAGGCGATGAATAAGACATAACAGAAAAAAAATTTAATTGATACTGAAAAGACTTTTTGGTTTTTAACATTAATAGAATAATAAAGACAGGATATTATATTTCTAATATCTAACCACTAATTTGAGTAATTTATCGGAATAAAAATCTCTTATGAAAGAATATTCCTAACTATGAAATCGTTTTCGCTTAAGATCCTTACTGTTCGATCGATCATAATGAATAGTAAAAAAGTTTGGTTTGGTTTTTCGATCGTCGATTTTTGCTCTACGAGATTAGAATTGAAGACAATCTGGATGGTTCGAATTTCAGGCTGAAGTTTTGCTCATAGATGAATCTTATAGTCATTAGAAATATTCTAAAAGTTTGAGCTAGAACAAATAGAACCTTGCTAAGATATTTTTATTTTACAAAAACGTCTGTTTTGAATTGTGTTTCAAAACAAGGACATTTCTATGATTAACTAATATTTCGATACAAGTACAGTTGTTCTAGCTTACACTTTCGATTGTTTCTAGTGGCTGTATAAAGTCTAAATATAGACAAAATTGCTGCTCAAAATTCAATTATCTAGATTTTTAGTAATTCTATGCTCATAGGATGAAAATCAAGTAAAACGCCCATCACTCGACAAACGAATATCAGACAAAACAAATCAAAACAGACTTTTTGATTACTTATCATGACTGATCTAATGGTAATAACTTCAAGCATAAAGCGATTTGATACTGAATAACATTTTCTTGTTAAATCAATTTTTATGTAAAATTTGATATTATAAATTAACATTTTCACAATCATAATAGAAAGAAATAGACTATCTACTCTATGATTTGTATGGTTTAATCATGAAATATTAGAATTTCTTTTTGTAAGTTATTAAATAAAATAAAATTAGTAATTAAACTCTGGTTTCTCGAAGATTTTGTACAGTTTTAATGATAATTTAGAATTTTATTCAAACATTATTTTCATTATTAAGATTTGTCTACGAATATGAACGATTCAATGGTATTGCTGAACTACTGGAAATACTTGGAAGGTATTCTATTTTGAAAAGATAAACATATATAAATTTAAAGAATTTATATTCTATATTTAGTATAATTAATGGTTTTGCTATACCATTAAAAGAAGAACATAAAGTATTTCTTGGACGAGTACTTATACCATTACATAAAGTTCATTCATTAAGTTCATTTCATCCACAAGTAAATAAAATATTTAATCTAATTGATTTTTATTTTATTTTTAAATTTTATAGTTAACATATTGTGTTGTACAATTTATTGAAAAAGAGTCTTCATTAGGTGAACTTATAATAAAAGGTTTACTTAAATATTGGCCAAAAACATGTTCAACTAAAGAAGTATAAAGAAGAATTTTGTCTTTTCTAAATCATCAATTGATGATTCGTTTAGATATTATTTATTAATGAACTCGAAGAAATTCTTGATGTAATCGATTCAAAAACATTTCGAACTGTTATTACACCACTTTTTAAACAAATTACACGATCAGCTACATCGCCACATTTTCAAGTAAATTAATTTATGATTAATGACACTTATTCATTTGCATAAAAAATATTACTTATATGAGAATGGAAAAATCTTTCCAGAATTTACAATAAAAACTTAAGTTGATTCTGTTATCTAGAAGTAACTAGTCAATTAGGATTACATATGTGTAATATTTCAATATCAACGCAATTAGTTGATTTCTATCATATAGTTATTATCATATGAATTGTGATTAGTGAATATTTCATTTTATCAAATGCATTAAAGACTGTGAGAATTCTATTTAAAATCATGAAACTTACATAAAATTTTGACTAACAAGGGAACGCTATCAGGTGTCATTTCATTTTTCAACCAACACAATATGTATTATGTAGAGGCTAATGAATGTTGAATACGTTGTAAAGAATTCGTGTTCCTAGTTTATTTCTGTGGAGATATTTAACTTTTATGACAGTTTTTAGAATAACGCTATAGTTTTCGTAAGGATTATTTGGAAAATTAACTTCCGAATTTACACTTAAAACTTTCTGTTGAGACTAGTTGATCTTAAAAGTGTGAGATTTGTGAGTTCTTTCTATTCTTAACCCTTTAAGTACGGGCGACGAGAATTCTCGTCCTGATATTTCAGGACTTAAATAGTTTTACAAGATACGGTTTGTTGATTATTTAATCATACGAGTTGCATGGACATTTTTGTTTAGAGTATTTGTGCGTTAAGATTATCTGTACTGATGCGATGATTATTGATTGTCCCTTTTTTCTTTGAATCCGGGATTATTTTTATATAGTAAATTAGACAAGAGAGACTGCTATTAGATAAATCGGTCCTATAAAAGTTTTCCATTCATACCCCAGCTATATTATGCCAGATGAAAAAGTTTGATAAGTTGAGCACTTTTNTTTCGCAAAATTAAAAGCAGCATCATTATGTGCTCTTAAATTATTTTGTTCTGTTTTTTCTAAAATATCACTTATTTCATCCAAACGTCCAGCTCGATAAAGTGATTTTGTCATTTGTACAAATGGATCAAAATTATCTATTCAAAGCAAAACAAAATCATAAAATAAATTAAAAAATAAAAAAAGATTTACTTGGATTTCGTTCGATAATATCTTTATATTGTTGTATAGCTTTTTCTATTTCATTTTTACGTAATAAATAATTTGCCATCATCTAATATATTTTTTTTAATATTAAAAAAACGAAACAAGATTTTATTTTATTTTCTTTTTTTATCAATAAATCTAAATTAAACTTACAATTTGTACTGAATTATCATTTGGAAATGTTTTACTCATATATGTACAAATTTGTTCACATAATTCATATTGTTCCGAATTTAAATAAGCTTTAGCTAACATCATTTGAATCTATGATAAATATAAACAATTATTGAATTTTTTCATTTCAGAAAAAAAAAATACGAGCTCACTTTTAAATTTCGATCATCAATTGCACTTGCTTCTTTTAAATCTTTAATAGCTGATTCATAATCATGTTCATCAAAATACATTGTCGCCAAACGATAACAAATGCTTAAAAATGAAAAATATTTAATAACAAGTGATATGAAAGTCTTCTACACGAATTAAACTCTATGATAGGATTTTCGAGCAACCGGAAAAGTTTTCATTACATTTTCACGATCGAAATCTAAAACTAAACGTTGAAATTTTCGTTTATATACCAGCTTGCAGAGCAAATACTGCTGTACAAAATGTATTAAATTTCTTTTTGTCTTTCCATAAAGTAATCGAAGGACCTTTTATATAGAATGTAGCGTTCTTAGAAAATGCTTATAACTTCACTTCAATAAAAGCGAGCGCTTAGGTTGATATTACGTTTTGTGAGCATGTATTCGCAGTATAAAATTATGAAGTTCAATATTTTTTAGTATCTTCATAAAGAAAATTTCTAAACACAAGATTCTCATTCAAACACATAATTTTTCATTTGTCTAGAATAGTTTCGCATCATCCGTTCAATTAAATCTGATAAGATAAAATCTATTTACTTGCAATATAATTTTTGATTTTCTTTTTGTATATCACCTTCTTCAAGTTGTATACGTTTAAGTAATTTCTTTTGATTTTCTTTAGCTCTAATTAAATATTTTTTCGTTTCATCAAATTGTTTTGTTTGTTCAAACATATTTGCAAATATTTCATATGCTTTTGTTATTTGTTGTACATGTTGAAAATTTGTATTTTGTACTGAATGAAAAAAAAATTAAAAAGAAAAAGAAAAACAATGAACAATTATTTTCCATTTTTTATTTTATTTTAAATAACCTTCTTCTTTAAGTAATTGATCAAGAATTCGTTGTGCTTGATCATTTTGATTTAATTTACTTAAAAGATCAGCAAGATTAATTCTAAAAGAAATTATTTCAATGTTCTTTTCTTTTTTTTTTTTTCTTTTGGAAGACAATTACCGTAATTCACTTTGTGGTTCTGCTTTAACAATGGCTTCATAATATTTAATAGCTTTTGTATATGCATGAGTTTTTATGTATGCTTCACCAATCTTTTTCATTAATGCTATATCACGATTATTTTGACGAAGTGCAGCATCAAAAACTTCAATTGCTTTTTCAGGCTAGAAAAAGAAATTATAAGTTTATATCGTAAGCAATTTGAATCGACACAATCATCTTAATTCGAAATAGAGAGGAAACTATGAACTGTGACTGATATATATATACAGTGGCGGCCAAAATTGAGCGTCCACCTTTTGTCTTTCAAAAGAAAAAAAAAAAAAAAAAAACATTNAAGAGTCATCAAAGGTTTTGTGTAATGATTCAAGACATTCCTCTTGTGATAATTGTTTTTTGTAATCATAATAAATTGTAACTCGAATTTGTTCTCGTGTTAGATTCATGACGATGCAAAAAAAATATGTCAGTAGTGAATCACTTAATCTACAAAACAATCAAAGGAAAAATGTCTAAGAGCTAAAACTTTGTATACTTTCTTCTGAGACTTGGGTCTACTACCACAACTACCAAAGTCTTAGATATCTCTTAATTTAATAAAGAATCTAAAAACTTTCAGAATGACCCACGTATTTAAGCGAAATGAGAATGATTGAAGATATAAAAACTGTACTGCTTATCATAATGTTTTTGGTTCACAGAAAAGATCAGAAGTGTTAATTATTATTATATGTTTCAATCATTATGCTGTAATAATATTGAGCATTCATTTATGAAATAAATAAATGAAACGAATATTTTGTTTTCATTTTTAAATTCAATACATAACCGACGTTTTCAGATTTTTTATTTAAAATCATTGTACTGGATTTTCATAACTGTATCGGCTTACTCGTATGTCAATTTACATTTTCTTTTGACTCACAACTTATTAAGTATAAATTAAAAAAATATATCCATATGTATTCATTTGAAAAAGTTTTTGAATTACTATTTAGAATGAATGGAATTTATTTTAAAAGCAAAAAATGTTTTTTTTTACAATAAACAGTTTGTTTTTTGTCTGATAATAAGAAAATTTAATAAAATATTAAAAAAAGAAAAGCATTAACTGAATGTTTCTTGTCTATTATGTAGTGAATGTTGTATATTAATATTATCTGGTTCTTCTTGTTTTCGCTTATTTCCAACACGAAAACTAATATTTCGAAATGTAAGACCACCACTAGGAGATTTATTTGCTTTTCTTTTTATCATACATATAACAACAAAAACAGTTATTGTTCCAAATAAAATTCCTACAATCATTCCACCAACAACTGCACTTGCTTGTGCACCATCTGAATATTTTATTTTTTCATGAATTTCGTCAATTGTTTCTATAATTGTTCGATTAACATTAATATTAGGATTAAATGTATAGAAATATTGAATATCTTCTAATGAATCTCGTATAGCTTCAATTGAAAGATCATTATCAGTATCAAAGTAAAATTCACCATTATTAATACTATTTTCAAGTTTATTTTTAGCATCAAGTAATTCAATTTCAGAATTTGGATCAACAAATGGTGTTCGATCAAGTAAAGTAAATATACAATAGAGTGTATCATTATGATCTGGTTGATTTAAATGATGATTAAGTTCAAGTTGAGATATACGTAAGTATTTTATTGACATAATCCTCATCATTTGTGCACGAATACATTCAGTTAAATGTTGTCTAATAAAGAATAGAAAAGAAAAAATCTATTAATAAATAAATAACAAAAAAAAAAATAAATAAATCTTAACCGATTAATTGAAATATTTTCAATATCATTTGTTGTTGATTGATTTCTAATTTTAAGTTGAAATGCTAAATGAAGATACCATAATTGGTTTGATCGATAACATAAATTAATATCAAATTCATTTAAATATACATCAGTTCGATAATCATAAAATTCATAATGAACATTAGCTGCTGGTTCATTGATATTTCTATATAAATTTAAATTAAGATAAACTGGATAATCATACGGAGTATTATTATCATCATCATAAATATTTCGTTTAGACCATCCCCATTCAATATTTGTTACTAGCCAATTTTCATCTGAATCTAATGGAAATTGTGACATTTGTCCAATAAGAATTGTACATAAAATTGATCCACGACATGGACGATTACCAGTATATTGAAAAAATTGTTTAGGTGGATTCGAAAGAAGAATATCTTCATATTTAATTAATGTTTCAATTGGATTATGTAATATCGATGTTAATGAATTCATTGCAATCGATTCATTTATAATACATAAACCTGTACGACGATCTATTTTATATGAACATGATGCATTTTCTGAATAATCTAATATCATTGTTATGGAATTTTGAGTATTATCAAATGGTGTATAATCATAACGAATTAATTTTCGTTCATCTGTTAAATAATAATGAAGATGAACTGAATGCCACAGCTGTTGAAAACTTGTAGAAGCATCAATACGAACACTAAATTTATCAGGAAATTTGATACCAATATCTTGTAAACTTATAAGTTGATCTGTTGGAATTAAATCATTACAAAAAATACTTTTCGGTGGTATTAAATCAGTTTTAATTATTCTTGTTTTATAACTAAAAATATTTAATATTTCTAAAATAATTCCATTATCTTTTCGTTTTATAATACGTTGTATAGGAATAGTATAATTATTAGAATTCCATGGCATAAAATAATTTGTTTTAGCAAATGACCAAATAATATCTGAAACATTTGATATTGATGATATCCATTGTTGAACATGAATATAACCACGTAAAGTTGTTTCACCAAAATATGTTGCATTTGATGTTAAAAGTAAAAAATCATATAATGATCGAATATGTGTTATATTATGATCTACATATGTTACACCAGAAAATCCATCGGATGAATTATCAATATCTATTGGATAGACATTACATTGTTGTAAAATATTTTTTGTATAAATAGCTTTTTTAAGTATTGTATAATTATAATATTCAAAAGTTTGTTCACTAATTATAATAAGATAATTATTATCATAATCATAAATACATTCAACAAATGTACGTTTATGTTCACCATCCATAATAATACTTTCAATTGTAAATTCAGCTTGTCTAGGAAAAATTGGATAAGTAACTTTATCATCTCCATGAATGATGATTATCAAAATGAAACATGCAACGAAAAAAAAGTAAAAAGTATACATCATCATAAATGCTTAAATAAATGAATACAAGTATTATGTGCTTCGTTTATGTTCTTATCATATTCGTCAGGTTTTTTTTTATCGTCACATTGAAACATTCAACATGTTTCGTAACCTATTATTGTTAATTGTATTTATGCTTTGTAAAATATCTTGGTGTCAATTAATTGATTTAAATATTTGTCCTAACGGTCTTACTACATCACCATCAGATTCACAATGGCCTAAAATATTTCCAAATCGCTTTGAAATTTTCAGTGAAATAACAACTGATGTTGAAACCTTTGAAGTTACGCAATTATTTATTGGACTTCATAGAGATACGATTTATTTTCGTAATTATGAAAAAAATTTACAAATATATTATGATTTTGAAACAAATGAAATATTAACTATTAATGATGAATTAAAATGTGATCGTTCAGAAATACAATCAAATGAATATTTACCATTTATTACTACTAGTCAATATGTCAAACCATCGATTTTATTAGGTTTTGATGGACGAAATAATTATAGTATGCAATTTTACACACGATATATTGGAAAAGAAATTATTCGTAATGGAATTGTAAAAAAAAAATTTCAATCATGTTTTTATATAAATCAAGAAAATTTAACTATTAATGCAACTTATTATTTAAGTGAATCTCCACCAAATGAAATGCATACCAATTCTGCACCAGATTTTGTTCAAATAGATGTTCGGTCAAATAATTATCCATATACATATAATATTATTCGTTATGTATCCAATCCTTCACTTACGATTACAACACCATCAGGTGTATATTGTCCAAATCGAATCAATACAAAAGAATTTCCACAAAATTTACCATCTCGTTTACTATTACATGCTGAAATTTATATACCGAAGAATAATGATACTTCATCAAGAATTGAATCATATAATCGTTTTATTGATGAAACATTAAAATTTGAACGAATCGATTATATTACGGACAAAATAATAACATCTCCTCTACAGAATCAAATACTTATTGATTATTCAACTAATTTAAGCTATATCTATACACGTGAAACACAACAATGTATAGTAATGAATGTAAGTACTCATTCAATTGGAACAACAAATGAAATATTATTTCAATTCGGTGCTACTAATAATTCAGTTCAATTTCAATATACTGGATTAACAAATTGTGGACGTGAACATGTTCAATGTCATAGATGGATTGGTCAACGTGATTTAAATACATTAATTCAACAATATGAATGGTATTGGAGTGCAAAATATAATGATATTGATTTGTCAGAATTTATTCCGATTAAAGTTAATATGGCGACAATATATAAAACAGAATCATCAAAAACAATAAATCAAGAAGCAAGTAGGTTCATATGTATAAGATTTTTTTAAGAAGGATCCTATCTAATGAATACATTTTTATGAATAAAAACTTCCATGTTCTAAATAAGTTTCTTTTATCCGAAAAAAGAAAAACACAAATGTAGTTTTGTGTTTGGTTTTTGTATACACATGATTTTCATATGACAAGTTGAAATTTTCTTCTCCTTTTTCCTATAAGGTATGACCGATTGAACTCAACATGTTTTTTTTTGGTACTTCGATCCAATAGGGATGAGTGCTCTGTTGTCTCTTGCAACTGTTGTATGTCAAGATTTGTTTCTGATTACCACAGACAAAATTTCAAACTTAAACAACATAGTAAGATTTTTGAGAAGGAAGTATGTTTAATCTATATAGATCTTGTATTCTACTCATCTCATTGAGATCTATCTATTCTAAAAGTTTCTAACAATTTTACCAAGCTATGATTTTTAAAACTCGAAAAAGAAAGGGTTCTCGACCAAGAGAATAATACTTGACTAATAACAGACAAATTGCATTTGAGAAAATATGAGATCTTTAAATATATAATATTTCTTTCACATAAAATTAATATATTTTAATATATCATACGAAGAGGAATTTTTATAAAATAAAAATATTTCAGTACATCATCCATTATTTTCCAAGATTTAACTGAAAAAATAATCAATAAAAAGAGATCAGTGACAGAAATTGTTATTTTGAATCGCTGAATTCATCCATATAAAAAAGTCAGTGTATACAATATTAGATCAGAGTAATCAAACGAAATCTTAATGTACTTTAAACAAAAAAGGAGTTATTTCTTGAAGAATAATTTTGAGATAATTTCATAAAAATTTTCTTTTTATAAAGATATATTCAATTATAATCCTCGACCAAATTCATTTGAAGCTATTGATTCAACACTTGGTGAATGTTATCGAGCATTAGAACCAAGTGATCATTTTCATTATGCTATCCTTCGTATGACACTTAATAATGATGCTAAATATCCAGTTCATCAACATTTATTATCACTTGAAAATCATCTACATATGCAATTAGCAAATGATCTTAAAATTCGTCATATTCGTCTATCATCTTTTGTTATTGATACAACACGTGATACAACGAATCAACAAGATAAAGATGTTTATGTTACATTTATACTTCTTGATAATCCACCTGTATCATCCCATTCTCGTAAAGAATTATCATTACTTGAATTAATTCGACAATTAGCTAGTCAAATAAATGATGAAAATTTTTATGTTCGAGATAATGATGGAGCTTTTGATTTACAAGCTCGATCAAATAGTCTACGAATATTAATGCTTTCTTTACTACCGTCAGAAATTTATACAAATTATTTTAACGAAACAATATTTGTTTATCATAATGTTACACAAACAATTACTAAACAAACTCAGAAATTAGTTTATAAACATACAGGTGCATTAATAGCTGCTTTATGGATTGGTTTTATTTTATTGGGTATTATTGTTGCATTAGCTGTTGGCTCTTTTATAGCAATAAGAAAATGGACACCAATTGTTAATTTTCAAAGAACATGAATAATGACATATAAATTTGTGAACTTTATCGTAAATATTTTTTTTTGTGATCTTGTTTATTTAAGTACAAAATTTCATATTGTATATATAAAAAGTTCTTTTAGTGCTTTTCTCAATTAAGATATATATGCTTTTCCTAGAAAGAATATTAAACTTATAGAATTGAAGACTTGCTCAACAAAAGATTGTTTGAGTCTATTAACTTGTCTAAAAACAAAACCACTCATCTCATCAAATCTTATGGTGAATTAGTACAAAGAGGTTTATGAATTCTTCAGGTTTCTCATTTTGTATTTTATCCATTGGAGCTTTGTTTTTAATCTTTTCATCCTTAGTGTTGTTCTTTTCACTTCTGTCATATATCTAATTTAATACTGATATTTATTTTAATTGTTTTGAAAATATGAACATGTAGTTTGTCTATTTACAGATATGTACCAATGTTATACCTCATGTTATACAGAATGTGAATGTAGGGCATGAAATAGAGTTCAATCATGATATTTTATCATAGAATTTAAACTATATATATATATAAATAGAATAAATAATCAGTCTTTTATCTTGAATTCAAATTCTCTTATAAAAATCAATTTGCGACATACAATCAAACGGCTCGGTTTAAACAAAACATTCTTATTAAGATGGAATCTCATCGTTTTTTGATACAATTTCCAGTAAACATTCTCGAAAACAAAAGATAATTTGAAACTGATTAGAAGTTGATAGTAAAATGCCTAAAACATTTCATTGATGACGATTAAAGTACTAGGAACATTGTCTTATCCATGTCGTATACAAACTTTGTATTTGTCGACCTAGATATTTTAAATATTTATTTTTTATAAAAAGAAAATATTGAAATCATCATCCAATTTTCTTCATAGCGTAAATTTTACCTGCCCGTTAATAGTAATAAGCAACCTAATATGTAAAACTTTGGTTCACATACCTAAACAATGATCAGTGTGGCGTCTTTTTTTGCTTTTATACTATCAACTTCCAATGACAAACTTGTATTATTGTATAACTGAAACAATTTATCGTCAATACGGACGAATTATAAAACTTTTTTACGATTATGAAGAAATACATGAACAAATTGAATTTAATATATTAACAGAAAAACAAAATCCTGATCGATAATATCAAGCAGCAATCAAGCATGATGAATATAAACGTATGATGCCAACATATGTATCTGCTACAGATGCATTAACATTTGCTGATTTTGTACGTATTTTACGACCAATTATGATGGAAACATATGTTGGGAATAATTTGCGAGAAGTATTTAATTTACTTGATAAAGATCAATCAGGTGGAATTGATATTAATGAATCATGTGATGTTTTATCAATTAGTCGTTCCAATTTTACTAAGGAAACATTATTACATTATGTAGGTAATGTTGGTATTAAGACAAGATATTGTATGTGATAATATTTAGATAACTAATATTGATAATATAGATCGAAATTCATAAAAATTATAATTTAACAAACAAATAATAATTCAATTTTGAAAGAAAGAAAACAATAATCATAACATTTGAATCAATGACATAACTAGAATTTTGCCAAGAAGGATGTACAGTATATGTAAATAATTTTAGTTTTTTACTTACGATGCTTAACTATCAGTTAATCAGCTTACTATACGAACGTATTCATTTTAGAGAGTTGAAATGTGATTTGCTGTGAAATGAAGAAAAGATTCCAGAAAATTCGCCTTGGTATTATTCATAGATAAAAGTCTGATTATTTATTCTTTTGTTCGTCTATTTTTATCTCAATGATTTGGATTCAAAAATTTTTCAAGTATAACACAAAATTAATTGCTTTTAAAATAAATCCTTTAATGCTATTTATCTTTTTTGTTTTTGAAGTCATTTTTTTTTGTACCTTGCTTGCTATACAAACCATTCGTACAATTGATGGTCTAACTTTTGTGAATTAACACCTTTTAATTTTTGTCTGACAATTTATTAATTCTAATTTGTTTCATAATCATTAAATTATTTTGTTTTTTTATGTTTTAAAATATTTGATACAGAGCTAAATGATATAATATATTTTTCATCCAATTTACGTTGTGATAAACCATTACCAGTTTTATTATCATGAATTAATTAAGTATTTTTTTTTCTTGCAAAATAAATTTTTGTCATGATGTCATTCTTTACTTTACATGTAGAACAGTTGAATCCGCCGCGTACACAAAATGTGCTTGTAGTGCATTGGTAACAAGAGACAGAAAAAAGAAACAGGTCAAAAAAACATGTTCATATTAGAGAGGTTATAATAGCAAAAGGTGTCGCAAAAAAAAAGTGTTCACTAGTAGAGGTTTCACTGTATTTGTTTTCTATACTGTATGAAATAAACTCTGCCCAATAAAGCAAATATTTATCCAGACGGACTTCTCAGTATTTTAATTATCTTTCATTTAATATTCGTTTGTTCAAGCTTCATTTTTTAGTCTAATAGATTCACCTCTTAATTCTCAATAAAATGGTATGCCTTTTTTTTTTAATGCAAATAACATCCATCATTTCTCGAGACATGCTTCAAACGAACAATTTAAAATAAACAGTTTTCTAATCAAACTTGTTGGCAATTTTTTTTATTGTATACTTCAATTCATGCCTTGATATCTCTTTCGATGTTACTTTTTCTAATCAAGAAAATATATCAAGTCAACCTGAAATCGAACGGTTCAATGATTAATGCCTGTCGATGATGGAAGTGGTAAAGTTGTTCCTAATCTCCCTGTTGTTGAATCGATAGATGTAAGGTTTCACACTTAACTAGTTGTATTTGATGCCATGAAACAAATATTTTTATCTCAAAAAAGATTGAAACAATTTCATAAAATACTCATGATCGTACTTAATTTGGCTATTTTTGACTCATATCAATCATGTATAACGGCTCCGAGAATAATCAATTATTTAATAATATTTTAGCTACAATATCCCATAAAGATTGTAATGTGTGTGTGTGTTGATCCATGTTTTTTTGCAAGTACTACGTCTTATTGAAATTTTGAACGGAACTTTGAAAATCGAAAAGACTGTTTTAGGATGTAGGATAAATATGATGAGTGTAAATGTAAAAACTGTCCTCACACCTTTTGTCATATGAACGAGTAAAATCTACTCCATCGTTCCTGCTTTCTAGCGACATCTTACATGATTGATGAAAGCAAGAGAGAGGATGGAATTGTTGATGATGATAACAATGGTGAAACGGAATGGATGGATCTTATTCTTTGGACCATTCAAAGAAAAATGTTCGAATTAAAATGACTGTAAAATAGAAGGAATAATTCAGTTACCTAAACTGCTATATGAAGAAAAAGAAAAGAATTATTATTTGATGAATTCTGCGTTTTTGATTTGTGTATATTGACATATGTTTATTTCATATTTAAGTTTTTTTTTACATAAAAACAAAATCAAGTTTTTATTTTTCTATTTATTTCTTCAGATGTTTTCGAAAGTAGTACCTTGGCAACGGGTAATTACATTAATAATAATAATAATAATAAGTACCATTTACTTTTATTCTATAAAAGGTTACAAGCCGATGTGTCAATTATTCCGGTAGTGTACTTCTTCGAAATGCTTCATCATCAAGTGGTGGTGGTAAGAATAAAACTGGGAATTTCCCTAAAACTATATAAAATTTTCCTATAGAGCAACAATTTGATCTTGTTGTCATCGGTTCTGGACCTGGAGGATATGTAGCAGCTATTAAAGCTGCTCAACTTGGTCTCAAAGTATATTGTTCATCTTAAATTGAGAATTTTTATAAAAATAGGTTTTGTTTTCAGACAGCATGTGTTGAAAAGAGTGCAACATACGGTGGAACATGTCTTAATGTTGGTTGTATACCGTCAAAAGCAATGTTACACAATTCTCATTTGTATCACATGGCTCAACATGGTGAACTTAACAAACGAGGCGTTGAATGTATGTAATTAAGATTTAATTTAAAATATAATATAATATTAAATTTTAGGCCAAGGTGTTTCACTTAATTTACCTGTATTTATGAAACAAAAAGAAGATGCTGTTAAAAATCTTACAAATGGTGTAGCTTATTTATTTAAAGCTAATAAAGTAAAACAAAAAAATTATCATTATAATTAAATTAAATTATATATTTTTAAGGTTACTGGTATTCGTGGTCATGGTACACTAAGTGGACCTGGTCAAGTCACTGTAAAAAAAGAAGATGGTTCAAATGAAACTCTTAAAGCTAAAAATATTCTATTAGCTGTTGGCTCTGAAGTAACACCATTTCCAGGTATTAATGTAAGTAGACTTTTGTTTTCTGTTTTATTTAATTTCCATAAATCATTTGAATTTTGTTCTTTTTTTTTCAAAAACAAACCATAGATTGACGAAGAAACTATTGTTTCGTCTACGGGTGCTCTTTCACTCAAACAAATACCTAAAAAAATGGTTTTAATCGGCGCTGGTGTTATTGGACTTGAATTAGTATGTTTTTCAAAATATTTTACATTAAATTGAAGTTATATATATATATATGTACGTATATTATAGGGTTCTGTATGGAGTCGTTTAGGTGCAGATGTAACATGTGTAGAATTTTTATCTCATATCGGCGGTGTTGGTATTGACATGGAAATAAGTAAAACTTTTCAAAAAATTCTAACAAAACAAGGTCTCAAATTTAAACTTGATACAAAAGTAACTGGAGCAGAAAAATCTAATGGAAATATTCGTGTTAATGTTGAAGGAGCTAAAGGTGGTAATAATGAAGCGGTAAATATATATATATTTTTTTCTCTATCCTTTTTTATTCAATATTATATTTTCAAATAAAAAATAGCTTGATTGTGACACTTTACTTGTATGTATTGGTCGACGACCTTATACAAAAGATCTTGGACTTGACAGTGCTGGTAAGAAAATTTGATGAATAAAATTTTAATTCCCGATGATATATTTTTTATTTTTACTGTAGGTGTTAAATTAGATCAACGTGGTCGAATTGAAGTTGATAAAAATTTTCAAACATCATGCAAAGGTGTATATGCTATAGGTGATTGTATTCAAGGACCTATGTTAGCACATAAAGCTGAAGATGAAGGAATTATCTGTGTTGAAAGTATTGCTTTGGGTCATGAACCACATATAGATTATAATTGTGTACCAAGTGTTATATATACATTTCCTGAAGTATCATGGATTGGAAAAGCTGAAGAACAATTAAAACAAGAAGGAATTAAATATAAAGTTGGCAAATTTCCTATGGCAGCTAATAGTCGTGCTAAAACAATAAATGAAGCTGAAGGTTTTGTTAAAGTATTATCGGATGCAAGAACTGATCGAATACTTGGAGTACATATGATTAATTCAGTATGTTTGTTAAATTTGTTAGATTTTTAGTTTATTAAGATTGGTTCTTTTTTTTTTCTAGGTCGCTGGTGAATTAATTAATGAAGCAGCATTAGCTATGGAATATGGAGCATCATGTGAAGATGTAGCGCGTGTTTGTCATGCTCATCCAGTATGTATTTTCGGTTTTTTTTTATCATTTAGTTTAATGGTTAATTTGTATTTTAGACATGGTCGGAGTCATTTAAAGAAGCTAATCTTCAGGCGACTTGTGGTAAAGCAATTAACTTCATCTAATATCATTAGAGCGACATTGAAAGACAACACTGTTTTATTCTAGTTATATTTGTTTGTGTAATTTTAGTTTATTATTATTTTTCTCTCTCTCTCTCTATCTCACTCTCTCTTTTTTTGTCATACGTACGCTGTATCTTTTCTTTCATAAAAGTTTCTCAAGCTCATGCACTTATAATAAACAAAAACGAACAGTGTTTATCTAAACAATTTATCAACAACTAAGATAAAAGGAATTATGTTGATGAGATATCTTGAAATGATTTGTGTTAGCAATGTATAATATCATATATTGTGAAATTTGCATAATAGACTTACGAGCAGATTGGTTTATGATCATTGTTGTCTTTTCGACGATCGAATTGGATATAAAAAGGATATATTTCGAATGATTAAACATTGTTTGATTTCATGTTTGGCTATTGAATAAGTTCGGATAAGAAATAAAAACTTTGAAGACTTCAAGAATTTGACGTTTCTGAATTAAGCCTTGACATTCTCCATAGCTGAAAATAAATATGGTTATTCTAATTCAGTACTGGTATAGTAAGGACTAGTGTACAGTGAAAGACTCTATCTGTATTCTGTAAATATCTCTCTCAAATTTCAAACTTTGACTCAAGAATTTTTTCCAAACCATAGTTTGCGAAATTCTCTACAAAATCCAATAGAAATAATTGCAAAAAGATAACTGAAAAACTATACTCAATCAGTAGTAACCATTGATCATTCTCCTTAGTCGAACTACTTATTACAGAAAACAGCTTTTGTAACAGTT